ATGGCGGGGGGGGGGTAGGAGAAAGATGGATGGATGGGAGCAAAAAGCAGCCCACGAGAGAGGAAAGAGGAGGGGGAAAGAGAAAGAGAAAGACAGGAGGGAAAAAGAGAGAAGAGAGAGAAAGAAAAAAGAAGGGAGCGAATAAGAAAGAGAAAAAGAGAAAAACGAGGGAGAGAGAAAAAGAAGAGAGTGAACGAGAGGAAAAGGGAGAGAAAAAGAGAGAAGGAGAGAGAAAAAGAGGGGAGTGGAGGAGAAAAGAAGGGAGTGGAGGAGGGAGGAACAGGGAGCGGTGGAGGAGCGGGGCGAGGGGCTGCGGGGAAGGTGCCGGCCGCGGGCGGGGGCTGGGGCCGGGCTGGGCGCGGCGGGTCCCAGGCTGGCAGCGGGTCCCTTACCCAGGTCGTCCATGGCGGCCCGGCCCCAGCGGCGGATGGAGGCACGAGCCCCCCCTCCCGGCCCCCCCCCGCCCCCGTGACGCGTCTTCCCGGAGAGCCAAGGAGCCCGGCTCCGGCCCCTGCGTGCTGACCATGTATGGCAACGGGGCATCGCTCGGCGCTGGGAGCCCGGACGCCTGGGTTCCAGCCCCGAGGGAGGGGCCAGCGGGTCAGAAGAGGGACGGGGAGCCCGGACTCCTGGGTTCCATCCCATAAGGGAGAGGAGCGGGGATTGGAGGCTGGGAACTCGGACTCCTGGGTTCCATCCCACGAGGGAGGGGAGCGAGGCTGGGAGGCTGGGAGCCCGGACTCCTGGGTTCCATCCCACAAGGGAGGGGAGCGGGGATGGGAGGCTGGGAGCCCGGACTCCTGGGTTCCATCCCACAAGGGAGGGGAGCGAGGCTGGGAGCCCGGACTCCTGGGTTCCATCCCACAAGGGAGGGGAGCGGGCTGGTAGCCCAGACTCCTCTTCTCTCCCCCCCGCCCCCCCCCGCAAGCTAGGCATAAGCAGACTAAGCCATTGCATAGGGCCCCAGCAGCCCCCAGGGGTCCCTTCTTCGTTTTGGGGGGTGGTGGTGGCAGCTATTCCTGCTGAGGGCCCCCAGGGGGCCAGCGCCGCGCTGGGCGGGGAGTGCGGCTTGGGGGTTAGAGCGGGGGCGGGGAGCCCGGACTCCTGGGTTCTCTCTCGTGCCATTCCCATTCCCCGCCTGCTGCTGCTGACGCTAAGGGAAGCCGGGAGGCCGCGGAGCCAGGGGGGCTCCGGCTCGGCCTTTTCTGGCTGGGACGTTGGGAAAAAACTGTCACCAGCCGAGAGAATTGGCTGAGTGGTCACAGGATGCGGGGAGAGAGCAGGTCCCCCAGCCGGGAGAGACGGGGGGAGCGAAGGGCAGAGCCCAGGAGCGAGGGAGGTGGGTCATGGGGGGGGGCAGCAGGGCGGGGAGCCAGGAGGGACCCCGGCAGGGATAGTGGAGGCAGGGCAGGCTCAGGGGGAAGGAAGAGAGACTGGGGGGGGGGCTCCCAGTGGCAGGGGATGGCAGAGAGGATGACACATCCCAGGCCCCACACTCAGGAAGCAGCCCCCCCCACAAGAGGCTGGGGGGGGGGGAAGGAGAGGCTCGGGGTGCTCCCAGGGGCAGGGGCCAGAGGAGAGGCTCAGTGGGGGAAGAAGGAGGCGGGGGGGCTCCCAGGGGCAGGGGATGGAGGAGAGGCTGGGGGGGACACAAGAGGCTGGAGGGGAGGAGGAGAGGCTGGGGAGGCTCCCAGTGGCAGGGGACAGAGAAGGAGAGGCTGGGGGGGCTCCCAGGGGCAGGGGACGGAGGAGAAGCAAGGGAGAGGACAAGAGGCTGGGGAGGGCTCCC